GACTGTGAAAGAATTAAAGTAAATACTAAACGAATGTTTAACTAAATAGGAGTTTCTCGTTGTAATGAGAAAATTTGTAGACACGCACAGATGGGGGCCACATCCCAAGCAGGTAAAACTACAGGAGTGACCGCCCGCAGAAGAACTACTGTTCAGTCTGGACACAACGGCAGCCACCGAATCATCCACTGAGAGCATCATCTCAAGTACTTCAGAGTACTTGAGTGTGTACCCAGTGTGTTTGGCTACATTGGTAAAATTTATTTAAAGTAACATTAGAATTGCTTGAATATTCATTATTTTTAAAAACTTGCAAAAGAAAATGACTTTGAAAGGCTGCCCTCCTCACTACACAGCTGTACCCCCTGGAATGTTCTAGTCAGTTTTCAATTTCAGGATTAGAGAACATTTTGGTTATGTGTCTAAAAAGTAATTTAAAAAAAAACCTTTGTAACCTATAATGCTACTTCTGAGACTTTACCCTAAGAAAATCATAAATGGAGAAAAATGTTTATACACAAAAATGTTCACGGTAGTGTTATTTACAACACAAAAAACAATGAAAAAACAGTTAGAGAAAATGGAATGGTTAGAAAACCACAGTATACCCAAGTATATCATGCAAAACCATAGTATACTATGCAACTGAGATTGAATAACTTATGAAGTTATTGATTTTTGTTTTGTGACCATCCTCTAATTCCTTTTCTCCCCAAAGGCCAAGCATGCTATTTCCCTCTCTTGCCTTGAGGGACAGTGTCTCAGAGAGTCACAGAGAGCTGTCGCTCACAGACAACCTGACTTCCCGACATCTTCTGGCAGCCTGTGCTCCTAGAAGGGATCAGACCAAGTGTTCCCATGGGTGGCAAGGGAAGCACGCCTTTGAGAGCTGCAGGATAATGGCAGCATTAATGAGATCTATGTCAAGAATAAGGAAGGCCTAAGGCAGTGGTGGCACTCTAGGAAAAAGGGCTACATGCTAGGACTATGCAGGCAGAGCCCCGAGCTCCAGAGGTCACAGATCTGACAGGATTCTCATGCCCAGGAGGGCACCAAAGACATGGAGCCCCAAGAGGGTATCTTCTCTGGACAAGCAGGAATTCAAATCTGACAATGCTGAAAGAAACAGTCTGATCCTTCCATCCTCCCAATACCAGAAATAACTTGGTTCTAAAAGTTAGGAATTAATTTAATTAACAATAAAAGCCAAACAGAATACATCTCAGGGTCAAATCTTGCACTGGTGCCTGTCTGTAAACTACAAAACAAGTGTTTCCAAACTTCCTTTTGCAGTATTTGAAGAAAAACAAAAATTAAAAAGTCCTTTCACTGTAAGTCCTAGCCAGAGCAATTAGACGAGAAATAAATAAATGGCATTCAATTTGGAAAGGAAGAAGTCAACTTATTCTTATTCAAAGACAACGTGATATTTTTAAGAACCTAAAAATCAGACCAAAACATTGTTAGAATCAGCAAATGAATTCAGTAAAGTTGCAAAATACAAAGTCAACATCCCAAAAAATCAGTAGCACTTATATAAGCCAACAGTGAACAATTTAAAAAAGAAATCAAGAAAGCAATCTCATTTATAGTGGCTCAAAAAAATTTAAATTCCTAGGAATCAATTTAGCCAAAGAAGTAAAAGATCTCTGCAAGAAAAACTACGAACACTGATGAAAGAAATTGAAGAAGACAGAAAAGGGAAGATAGCCCATGCTCATGGATGTAAATAACTGGTATCATTAAAATGTCCCTATCAAAACACCAATGACATTCTTCACAGAATTGAAAAAAAGCAATCCTAAAATCTGTATGGAACCACAAAAGACTCTGACTAGTCAAAGTAATTCTGAGCAAAAAGAACAGAAGGGGAGGCATCACACTACCTGACTTCAAAATATACTACAAAGCCATAGTACCCCAACAGCATAGTACTGGTTAAAAAATAAAAAACAAAAAACAAAAACATACACATGGACCAATGAAAAAGATTAGAGAACCCAGAGATAAATCTGTGCATTTACAGCTAATTCATTTTTGGACAAAGGTGCCTGGAACATACATTGAGGAAAAGACAGTCCCCTTAATAAACAGTGCTAGAAAAACTGAGTAAGTACATGCAGATGAATAAAGCTAAGCTCCTGTCTCTTACCATATGCAAAAAATCAACTTAAATTGAATTAGCAACTTAAATTTAAGACCTGAAACTTTGAAACAACTAGAAAAAACTATCAGGAAAATGCTTCTGGACACTGGTCTAGACAAAGATTTGTTGGGTAAGACCTCAAATGAACAGGCAACAAAAGGAAAAATACACAAATGGGATCATACCAAGCTAAAAAGCTTCCGCACTGCAAAAGAAACAATCAACAAAGATATAACCCACATAATGGGTTTTCTGCAAACCATCCATGAAACAAGGGATTAATAATCAGAATATATAAGGAACCCAAACAAATCAATTTAAAAAACCAAATAATCCAGTTGTTTTAAATGGACAAAACATTTGAATAGACATTTCTCAAAAGAAACAGCCAACCAAAAGGTGTATGAAAAAGTGCTCAACATCATGTATGTGCATCAGAGAAATGCATATAAAACCACAGTGAGATATCATCTCATCCCAGTTAAAATGGCTTTTTTATCAAAGAGACAAAAAAAAAAAAAACAACAAAAAAAAACACACAGCTGCTGGTAAGGATGAAGAGAAAGGGGAACACTTGTACACTGTTGGTAGGAATATAAATTAATACAGTCACTATGGAAAACATACGGAGACTCCTCAAAAAACTAAAGACGGAAATACCATATAATCCAGCAATGTAAAGGGAATCAGTGTATCAAAGAGATATCTGCACTCCCATATTTATTGCAGCACTATTCACAATAGCGCAAACTATTCAATAGCCGAGATACATAATCAATCTAAGTGCCCAACAGATGAATGGATTTTAAAAAAGTGACACTAACAGTGGAATATTATTCGTCCATGAAAAGAATGAAATTCTGTGATTTGTAGCAATATGGATGGAACTGGAGGGCATTATATTAGGTGAAACAAGCCAGGAACAGAAAGAAAAATATCCTGTGTTCTCACTCATATGTGGGAACTTAAACAAAAGTGGAGCTCATGGAGATAGCTGATTGGTGGTTATCTAGGCTGAGAAGGGTAGGGAGAGGGAATGAAGAAGAGAGGTTGGTTAATGGGTACAAATATACAATTAGATAAAAGGATTAAGATCCAGTGTTTGAAAGCACAGTAGGGCAACTATAATAAATAATAATTTGTTGTATAGCTCAAAATTGCTGGAGGAGAATTAGAATGTTCCCAATATAAAAAGGGGTGAATGTTTGGGGTAATAAACATCCCAATTGCCCTGGTTTGATCATTACACATTGCATGCATATATGAAAATACCACATGTACCCCCAACATATGTACAGCTCTTATGCATCTATAAAAAATAAAAACAAACAAACAAACATAAGCAGCATTGGCTATCCAGAAATAAATATCTTGCGTTACATACAAACACCACCATTTTAATATATTTACTCATTTTTAAAGAAAAAGTACTTGAAAACTAGGAAATAACTCATGCACTTGTAATTGAGGTACACCCAAATCCTGCCTATTTGTAACATCGTCAAAAACAACTGACAAGCAAAACAACTCCTGAGAAGAAAATACCACGGTCACAACTTCACACACTGGATTTACATAGTCGCTTCTGTTGCCCTCTTCTGACTTGTCTTACTCTGGTTTCACATGTTTAGCAACCAGCCGGGGGGGATGAGGGGGGTTGCTGAAGACAGTCCCACTGATAACAACAGAGTTAATGATACAAAAGAAGATGGCTACAAGGAGTCAAATGGCAGAGCCTGAGACCTTTGAAGAAGGGTCACATCGCCAGGGCTCAGTGAACAGCCAGGTACTTTGGTAAAAGGCCTTAGTGGCTTTCCTACACAGCACAATAGTTCAAACTAGTACCATAAATAAGACAGACACATACAGAATCACGGCCCTATGTTCTCAGGACAAACGTGCGTGACGGTCAGCATTACATTTCAGAAAGATCTCTGTTTAATTCAACAAACAGTTATAGGAAATTTATTATGTGCAAGGCCCTGAGCCATTATAAACACCTGATAAGAACTGGTTCAAGAGCTGTTGTTTTTGTAGAGTGCTCCATACATGTATTGTGATAGGTATCAAGTGGTACAAAGTAAAACAATTCTGAGAATACACCTGTATTTCATATCTGATGAAGCCCTGATTTGCTGATCCATAATAAGCCCCTTATGAGCTAAGCTGAGCTTTCACTATAATCCTTTCCCACATATCTGAACCTGCTGTGGGGATTTTTTTAAACTGCTATTAGCAGTGACTAAAACTTCTAATCCCCTGCTATGCCTTTATTATTAACACATACAGTTATTGTGCAGTAGCATTAAAGAACTGTGAAATTTTTTTTATCTTATTTCTAAATCTCACCATTTTTATAAGAGTAACAGTAAGATTTTCACAGAAATACTACTTCAGTCATTTTGTCTGTATTTTTACTGTAAATTGCTTTAGCTATAAGGTTAATTGACATCTCTTACAGGGTATGAGAAACTTCAAAGTGCCTGGAATGACTCCATTGCTAATGCAACTACTTCAGATATAAAGTAATCTTTCCTCAGTTTATTAAAGACAAGGGCAGATTTTTAGCCCAATCCTGGAAAGAAAAATATAACCCATTCTGGAAATTAATATGGTAGCTGGATACAGAATGAAATTCATCTGACTCCACAATAATTATTAAATCAAATATCATGGCATCTTTTCCCTAATCAAACTCAGGAAAGATTACTAAGCAGCCCAAACCCTGAAAACTACAAAGCAAAGATAGATACTCATTATGCCAACTCTAGAGGACTCAGGCAAAAACTGATGGCCTCACTATCATGTGTAACTTAGCTGTCCTCTATTCTGCTGGTCCTTGTTATTTTGTCTCAAGTTCACTTTCTGTGCCATTGAAAGAACTGTTAAGTAAGAGGGTTTAACCCTTTATTTTAGCCCAAACACAGGCTCTCTACATCTCATAGATTCAAGTCCTAAGGCAGCAGTGGGATATCCGCCCCCCACTCCCCCACCTTTTTCTTTTTTTTTTTTTTTAACTTACTTAAGCTTCAAGGGGAGAGAGGTCAGAATACTGGTTAACCTGTTCCCCTGAACACCCATTCTGACTGGCCTGCTTTTGGTCCCTGGGATTCATTATTATTAGGTTCATTCTTTTAAATCAATGTCTGAAGTGGGGTTGGAGGTTATGAAGCCTGGATTTCTCATTGTGATTTGCAGACAATTCCAACCTATGTTTTCTGAAACTAGAACTAAAACTTCCTCTAAATGGCAAATTAAATTCCCCCTAAGAATCATTTTAAAGGTATATGAGAAAGTTTAAAAGGTCAGATTAGGTAGCAAGAGCCACTCAGTGACAAACTCACATGCACACACACACACTCGAAAAAAATTGCAAAGGAAAAAGAAGATGTAATAAGTACTATTCTCCTTTTGAGGTCTGGACATTCAGAATCTTGGGGTTAAATTACAACTGCTCCATAGAAAGACAGGTTGCAGAGTGTTCCACGGTTCAACTAAAAAAAATTTGAGGCCAGTTGCATTACTGTTTGTTGACCTTCGAGGATAATAAGTAGGACTAACGTTGGTGACAATTCCTGACATAGCTTTAAATTAATTGCTGAATGGCAACTACCGCATAAGCTATATCTAGAGAAAGGGGGATAGACACATGTTTTATTCAAAATGTAAAGAATGGTTCTAAAGTCCTTATTCATCTTTTTAGGACTGACTTACTACAACAAGGAAGAGAAACTTCTACCCACTTTCTCTCTAAAGTAACATAAATGGCCATTTGCAGGTTTATATTTTCAGAAATATTAATAGCTAGAGTTTTTTAAACTTCCTGAAAATACTCAAAATGTATTCCTTATATTCAGGTCAACTAAAACATGATTAGAAGTATATCTAACATAGTGAAATACTGGAATTATAAGTAACGACAAAGATAATAAATCTAAACAACATAGAGACAGGATGGCTGAAAAAAGCATGAGCGTTAAAGCTAAACATCAGGAATGAAGTTCAAACTCCACTGGCAGCTACGTAAACTTGGCAAGTTACTCAACCTCTGAAATTTATAAAAGGGAGATACCACTATTGTCCTCAAAGTTGAATGAGAAAACATACCTAAATCACCCAGTACATTGTTTGGCACCTGGTCAGCACTCAATAAATGTTAGCTGCTATTAGCAGGAGCTGGAATACGGCCCACAGCAGCCAGGACTTGAGAGTCCACATCTGTTTACCTCCACTGCCTCTCTATTATTAGTGTGAGGTCAACATTACCACTCTTGCTCAATATGCTTAACATTATCAAGAGGTTTCAGACATTCTAAAAATCAGACAATTACATGTGAATTATCCTGAGAAAGAACGGGAATGACACATATTATCAAGTATTGCATCTCTGCTGCATTTGAATCTAATAGTGTAAAGAAGAGTGATTCATCCATTAAACTATCCTGTTCCTTTAAACATTATTCCAAGGCCATATAGGATTAGCAATTCTGCTTGTTTACTTTCCACTGACTAGCAGGAGATTAAAGACAAATTCAAGTTGGTTTTCAGATGCACAAAATTAAAGGTTGAGAAAACTTGGTGTTTTCAAAACATCTACCCATGGAGGATTTCTTTTTAACTGTTCTTTCCAAAACTTTTAAACACTCAACAAAATCTCAATTTGCTTTGCTTTGTTCTTTGCTTCCAAATACTGTAAATGGCTGGATTCCAGATAGAGTAGTTATCCTCAAATGCCTTCCAAAAAGGCCTGCCAGATTCTGTGGTTCAGAAGTAATTTAAAAGTAGAAATGTGTAACAAATGAGACCTAATGGAAAACACTGGATATTTTAGTTAGATTTTTTTAATGTGAGAGAGAGACAATACATATACACACGTGCACATGAACGCATATAAACACAGACCCATGTAAACAAGATAGAAAATGAAAATGAGGTGGCAATGTTGTATTTCTTTATTGTAGACAATAATTGGCAGGAGTGAAAAAATATACATTGTTTTTCAATGAAAAATAAAATTCATGATGCATCTAGTAACCAAGCTCAACAATGATAAGTTAAAACGGAATACTTAGAATAATACAAACTCTATCATGTGGATTTATTTTTGAGGGGGGTAATCCTTTAAAGTTTACAAACCATTTTCTTACATAAGACATAATTCCTATATATAATGAAATAGCTTTTTAATCATGACTTGTTCAAAAGAAGAAATGTTCTTCTAGTTGGTAAACTTTCTATCACTAGGTATTCAAGCAGAGGCTGGGATGTTCCAAAGGTTATTCATATGCTGGGGTAAAGGTTAATTAAACCTGAGGACTTTAATACTGTGTTCTTTCTGGATGTCTTCATTCATTCATCCCTCTAAATATTCATGAAATACTGACTACAGGCCAGGTACCTTACTACACACTACATATATGGCAGAGCAAAAGTTGGACCCAGTCCCTCCCTTCTCAGAGGTTACAGTCCAGTAAAGAAGACAAATACAAGGTTTTACAAGTGATGAGAGCTACGGAGGATGAGAGGACACTGACCTAGGCCAAGGGCAGTGAAAGACTGCTCTACCAAAACCATCTGAGGGACAAAATGAACTTAGCTACATAAGAGGAGAGGGTAGAATGCTCCAGGTAGACAATAGTGAGAGTGAGAAGTGAAGGAAAGCCAAGATGGCTGAAATGGAGAGAAGGGAGGGTGAAGCCCCGGAAGGCAGACAGGGAAGTGACCCTTGATGGATACAATAAGGCATGTTTGGACTTTATACCAAAGGCAATGGAAACTATGAAAAAATCTTGGGGGGACTATCAGAACAATGTAGGAATTGTAAGCAACATGGTGTTATGGCAAGAATGAAGGCAGAAAGAGCAGTTAGGAGGCTATCAACATAGCCCAGATAGAAAATGGTGGTGACATGGCCCATGGAACTGGCAATGATGGGGAACTGTGAACAGATCCTTGGTAGATGAAGGCATCTTTCATGGGATGCAAACACTGGAGGCTAAGCAGGGTGGGGGAAGAAAGGGAAGAGAATATGCTTAGTTGTAGACAGGCCGAGTCTAAAGTGCTTCCTAGGAAACTGGATCATGGGTTTAGAGCCTGGACTAAAGACAAATAATTGGTATTTGTGAGCCTACAGACATACAGGTTCCATTGTGGTAGCCACTAGTCACATGTTGTCTATGGAGCACCTGGGACACAGCAAGGGCAAAGTGACATGTACTATAAATAAGATACATGCTACATTTCCAAGACAGTATGAAAGGGAATGTAAGATCTCAATTTTTATACTGATATGTTGAAATAATATTTTGATATATCAGGCTAAACAAATTATAAAAATTAATTTCTTCTCTTTTTCACTTTTGTAATGTGGCTACTAGAAAACTTACAATTACATGTCAAGTTTGCATTATGACTCACATTACCTTTCTATGGGGCAGCACTGATAGGGCAGTAACTGAAGTTTGGAAGAGTAAAAAGAAGCACTAATGAGAGTTTGTCTCTGATACAGTTGTGGGGTTCAACACGTGGAGTGGTATGACAAGGAAGAGCTGAAAACATGGAATAAGCCAATAAAGCCAGACAATGTGGTACAGTGGAAGGCAAGAAGGCTCTGAACAACCAGGAAGTAGACCTAAGGGTCAAATTCTGCTGTGAAGCCACGTAAGAAAAGCAATGCAAAGCATATTTAAGCTAGAACACAGGTAGGAGAACAAATGGCTTCTGAAACAGGAATGAGTGAAAAATAACTATATTACTGTAATTTAATTTTCCTGCATTTTATATATATTTTTGTACAAATTTCCACTTTTTTATTGCATCACCTTCCAACTGGCATGTTATTTTAAATCAGAGTTTTTCACCTTTTCTTAACCCATGCTTCTCACCAGCACCCCGAAATGTTCCTCCGGTATAATTTGAAATCCCAAATAGATACCATGTCTGAAAACAAATTAAAGAATAGAAAAAGGGAATACTCTATCTTCAAATGACATCTCCTTTCACCTCTTCTGTTGGGTCATGTTTGCTTACCACTATAGAATCTTGGATTAGATAATCCCTAAAATTTTTCAAATTGTAAAATTATGTATGTCTAGTATTATTTTCCCCATAATTCATTCCATACCCAATAAAATCAGTGTTCTCTCAAGATACACTGGCCTCAGTCAATGCACCAGTAAGAATGCACATTTGCACACTGTTTCCCTACTCACTTTCCCAAAGCGTTTATTCAACAAATGTTTATTGAGCACCTACGCATGCCCCAATGGGGCTATAGCAGTGAGCGAACCAAATTTCCTGCACTCATTGAGCTTACAACCTCATGACACAAAAATACCATTGCTTCATAGTAATAATAATAATAAACAACCAACCACCACTGTAGCAGCAGTGGTTTATATGGCTTACAATTTCCAATCATTGCATCCTTAAGCGCTTCTCACCAATTACTTCATTTGAAGCTCACAACAAACTCGTGAGTTATAATAGGTCACCCCTGTTTGCCTATTTTACAGATGAAAAAATCAAGGCAAAGAAAGAGAATATAGCTTCTAAAGACCTTGATCAGGATTATAAATTCTCCCAGCACTATGTACTTCTCCTTTACAATACTTCCCACCCCAGGTGTTTCTGAAGAGAAGAGGAATGGACACTCTTGGTTGGTATTTCTCTGTCCTTCCCGCTGGAGAATTTGAGACACTGGAGTATGCAAAGCTCATCTCAAAGCAACCGGGTCTCAAGTCACACTCTGTTTTGGTAAGTCTAAATTATTTGGTTGGGGATTTAAGTTACATTCCCCCACCAGCCCTATCAGCCATAAACGTGACGTTACAATATGTTCTGTCCTCCCAGAGCAGCACTTACCATGGTGGTAATTTACACTATGTGATTTATGTCCAATTCACCTACTATTCTGTACATTCTATGAAGGCAAGGATTGTATCTGTTTTTTATATCTCCAGCACTTAGAAACTATCTAGAGCATAGGACGTGCTCAGAAAATATTAGTTGAATAAATGAAAGTCAGTTTTCCAAATTCACAAAATTTATTCATGTACCTGCCCAAACTTTTATCTTTACCATTCAAAGAGAAATCTTATTCTTCTCTGTCTTTTTGTATAGCATGAGATAAATGTAATTACACCTTCCCAGGGTCATCATTATGAGCCCTAATTTTCGTACTTGGTTGTAAACACAGAGGTGCCATTGGGGAGCTAATGAGGTTTATAGAATCCTTTGCCTGGGTAACAGATAGCTCTCCAATTGCTGTGCTAAGTGCTTATGTCTACTTGTAAGGGTTTTAATATCCTATTCTGCCACTTTCAGTATGTATGCTCTCAGCTCCTAATTTGCTGCTTCTAATATATAATAATCCAAGAAACCTGTTACTTGTTTATTGGCCTTATCAAAAGGGCCTTACTGCAGAAATTTTCTTCTACCTATTTGAACTACTTGAATGACCCTCCTCCCTTCTTCCTTCTGACTTTCAAACCATATTGAAGTGTTAAGGTTAACTTAAGAGTTACTCTATTTTTGCTGCAAAGTAGTATTACCAAGTACAAGGAAAATAGCTCTAGAAAGAAGAGTAAAATAACTCAGGAAAGAAAATGAAACGATCATTAGGCAATTTTTCATTATTTGCTGAATTACTCAATTAATTTACCCATTTGTTTCATAGCGATGGCAACAACTTCACAGGCCTGAAGCAGATCCTTCCTTACCATTAACCCAGAACCCAAAACAGATAAAACAACGTTTTCACATACTCTGTCACCTCTTGTTGAAAATTCCAGTACAAACTACGCAAAATGAGACTTCACATTTCTGGTATTAAAAGCATCCTGTGTCACAAGAGTCCCTTTTTGTCAAAGATCTTTTTATTTGGCTGTCTCTACTTTTTTTTTTTTTCTGGTTTCATTATGTCTCTCTTGTACTATAACCTGAGTCTGAGATGAAGCACTTCTCCAGGGACAACTCATAATTTTGCCTGTTGGAAATGTTGTCAAGTTCAGCTAGAAAACAAACCTAAAAGAAAAGAAATTGTACTCAGAGAAGGAAGGACATATAAACTTCTGTAGGGTAGCCCCACAAGGGTTCCTACAAAATAGATCACAAATACCTACAAAGATGCTTCCTGGACTGAGAGCTGAGCAAACCTTCCTAAATGAGAATTCTCTCCTTTCTGCAAAGGCTCTGGTGGTGGCTTGGGGAAAAAAAATTCATAACAACTACTTTCCTTAGTGTTTATAACACATCTGATGTTTTGTTTTTGTTGTTAATGTATGACAAACAGTATCACAGTTAATTTCATGACTTCCACTTCCCATTAGACAATTTTTTCATCACTTGCTAAATTTGAGTCTCCAGAAAAGTGTAAAAGAAAGGATTATGGTCTATATTGTTGGTATCAAATAACACTACAGTATACTGCTCCCAAGGTAATGTCATAAGGCTGCAGGAAAACATTTGGAGGAAAAAGAAAAGAAAGATAAACACAAAATTCAGTAAATATGCCAACAAGTGTTCTGTTATGCAAGTGGCAGAGTAAACCAAATACAATATATAGCTTTCTTTTCTGAAAGTACCTTATTATAAATAAAAACAAATGGTGCTTAGAAAGTGAGCTAGTATTGTCCCAGGTACTTTATGCTCAGTGTCTCATTTATCCTCACTAATTCTACAGGCCAGGGAATTCCGGCATATCTCTATTTTATAGATGAGAATATCGAGGTTGAGAAAGGTTAATTGTCCAAGCCAATGTACCTAATTACGAAGTATGGAAGGAGGTCTGTTTTCTTCCAAGTTAGTGCCCTTGCAGGCTGGCCCTTTTGAAGTCATCTGTGTACTGACCTTCTGTTGCTGAACGTGGGAACTTCCAAGACATTTCAGGTGGTGAGACTGAAACTAATGAGAATGCTGTTCAGAACATGTAAGATTTTTGATTAAAAAGTATTTGGATAGAAAAGACAAACTACATATCCTTTAATTTTTCAAGCAACTGATACTAATACATTAATAGAAAAAAAATCCCAAGGTTTTAGAAATATCTCTAAAAGACATTTTAAATCAGTTAACTAAATTTCCAAGTTACACCCTGGTTCAGGTCATGATATTTTCTCAGATTACTAGAATAGTCTCCTAACCCATCTCCTCAAATCCATTTTTATGAAGTCACCACAGTAAATCTAAAACATAAATTTAAACATGTTTCTCCTTTTGCTTTTGGAAGCCTTCAGTCGTTCCAATCACGTTCAGACCACACTCTAATCTTGTTGGCAAGGGATACAGAGAGAGTCCTTAGTGGCTGGCACCTGTCACAGGTGTCTTAAATGGCTGTAAGCTCAAGGGCAAGAAACAAGTTTCATTGTTCAATAAACATTTATTCACACGAAATAAATTAATAGTCCTCAATCTTGCATAAAATATCCTTCTATTATTCTTTTTCCCAACTTGAGAGAAAGAAACTATATTGTATATAACCCTGAATGCTAAAATATGCTTTAGGTGTTCAATAAAATATGTTCAATAAAATACATGTTCATTTGAACATACAGATGTTCAATAAAATATGATGGATTACAAAAAATCCTTAACCAGCCTCATGTGTCCGTGTTTCCATTTTTAACACTTAAAAAGTGTTGCATATGCAATCTAATCTTCTGTTCTAACACGGATTTCATATTCTAGGCTAATTTGTCTTGTCTTTTCTTCTTTTCTTTTCTTTTTTTTTTTTTTTTTGAGATGGAGTCTAGCTCTGTCACCCAGGCTGGAGTGCAGTGGTGCAATTTCAGCTCACTGCAACCTCCATCTCCCGGGTTCAAGTGATTCTCCTGCCTCAGCCTCCTGAGTTGCTGGGATTACAGGCGCAAGCTTCCATGCCCTAATTTTTTGTATTTTAGTAGAGACGGGGTTTCACCATGTTGCCCAGGTGGGTCTTGAACTCCTGAGCTCAGGCAATCCACCCGCCTTGGCCTCCTAAAGTGCTGGGATTACAGGCGTGAGCCACTGCACCCAGCCTCATTTGTCTTAGTTCTAATATGTAACATTTGCCTCTTTCTTCTTTCTGATCAGGACCATCTATTGCTTCACCTTTCAGCAGATGTCCTACCATTGGCCGATGCCAGCAGTGGGATCCTGGAAAGAGCCCTCTACAGACCCCAGGCCTCCTGGCTTAATAACAGCCTCGGCAGAGATGTGAGCCACTTGAGAGCAGGGCGAGGGCAGCATCTTGTTCCATTTGTATCCCCAGCATCTTCCCAGGACAGTTGGCAAGTGATCAGCAAATGCTTTTTGAGTAAATGAGTGAAAAAAAGAGCAAATAAATTGACTAACAGTGATAAACTCAGAGTCTAGGTTTCCTCAGTCATAAAAGGGTGATAAATGTCTACCTATAAGGTGACCCTAGATATTGCAGGTGGTATTACTGCCTCAAGAGAGACATTCTTAAAATGCAGTCTCCCCATTCTGTTCTTAAGCCTTGGCTGGTCACGTGGAAACACCATGTTTCCTCAGTATCCTAAACTCAGGATATTGCAAAAGTAGATGAATGTGTGGTTGAAAAATGAAGGAATTCTGGAATATTATTCTTAAATAATCAATGGAAATACAGGTTTTAAATTTTCTATCTTGCTGTAGGGAGAAAGGCTGATAGAGAAATCAGATCTGTTCCCTTGCAGACTTCCTTAAACAATGAGGATGTATTTTGCGACATAAGTTCTGGGAGAACAGTGTAATACCCACTTTCCAGCAATGAAACATTTGTAAACATTTTTCTGGATTCCGCTCTCCGTTTTTGAAAGTCATCTTGAGAAAGGGTAATTTGTAGTGTCAAGTTTATGGGATATTACCTTATGCTTTATTTTTGGGGTCACTCAGTATTTGTCTTCTCTTTTCTGTGTTAACTAAAACAATAAATCTTAACTCTACATACATCTCTCTCCCTCTCTCTCTCTCTCTTTCTCTCTCTCCCTCCCTCTCTTCCTCCCTGTTTATCTAGCCAAAATGATGCTTGGCATCTTTGAGATTCTCTTCACCCAGGGGTTGCAAACTCTCACTGCAGGCTGCCACTCTGATGTAATTGCAAGACCCCATCTCAATGTGACACTGTGTATTTTCTCCTACTGGCAACAGCAGGGTGTTGGAAAAAGATGAGAAATCATGTACATTTGGTCACTGATCTCTATTTATCTTATTCCTAAAATCAATCATCTTCAAGATTAAACAACAACAAACTCCATCTACAATGAAACCCAGTAGAGAGCAAACTAAAGATTCTTCATAGTTTTAAAATCATATTTTAATAAATGTTTTGGAAATGCCAACCATCAGGTTCTTCTTGTTTTTGTTTTTAAGCAGAGAGATGCAAATAATCTAACCACTAAACTCACAAAGCAAACCCCTAAAAATAAAGATTCTTATGTAATGATTTAAAGATGTAAAGCAGCTAACAAGCTATATAACACATTTTCTAAAATAACATAAAATATAAAGTCAAACAATGAATGAATAAACATTAATGAGAACACCAGAAGTGACAAGGCAGATCTTATTTTAAAAGCTTCAAAAGCTGTTTGTATAGATTACAGATAGCAAAAAAAGTGAAGTACTTACTTTAGGGCAATGTGTCAGTTTTTACAAAATTAGAAGGATCTTATTTTTCTGTCTAAATAAGTAGACTCAATCTCCAAATGCTCTCAAGACATGATTAATCCAGATAATATAGTATTTTAGTATTTATTTATAGTCTGCTTTATTCTAAAAAATGTAAGAAGGTTTATAATTAAAACTCCACAGTTAAATTCATTTCAAAAACCCTGATAAAATAATACACTTCAAGCACCAATATATTTTCATTATACAAATTCATTTTTATTTTTAAATTATGGAAATCCAAAGGAGTCTGTGGTAAATTTATAGTTTGTCAAAACCATTATAAGAAACCACCTGTCTAATAATAGAACATTGTTTAAATACATCAATATAATTTTGTCAACAATATACATCTTCCATATATACACACATATATACATTTTCTAGAATATATAACACTGGAAAATGTTCATGAGATACAGTAAATGCAAGTGGTTACTAAAGGTTTACACAAAAGTATACATTTTTTCCTTTTAAAAATATGTATAGACAGGTATAAAAAAGTGAAAGCAAAAATTGGAATTGTAAGTTTTTTACGATGAATGAGTTTTACTTTTACAGAGTAGAAGAACATATTTTTAAGACAAATGCATATTGTTTTTATAATTATATTCCTATATGAAAAGACCATCACTGCTGCTCAAAACAACAGACTGTACATGAGTCATATTAGAGGATCTAATACCATTCTTATTACTGACTTAACATGTTTTGTCAAGATTTTATTGTTTTGTAGGACAGAGTTTCACCTTAGGCCAACCCATGTAAACAAGAAACCATTCCTAGTGATGTCCATTGCATACCTAATGGGTTCTACTTAAAGGCATCTTTCATTTAGGGATGAATACCTCTTTCACCATCCCTTAAAATTAAAAATAGTATTATAGAGCCTGAAAAATTATCCTACAAATCACAGGTCCTAAGATATTATACCGCTAGACATGTAAAAAATTATAGTTGACCCTTGAACCATGGGGTTGGAACTGCATGGGTCCTCATACATGGGGAATCACCTCTGCCCCGCCCCCCCGCCCCGAGATAGCAAGACCATCTATTTCCTTCACTCTCCTCCTTCTCGGCCTGCTTGACATGCAGATGACAAGGATGAAGACCGTTAATGATGATTCACTTAATGAACAGTTAAGTGTATTTCCTCTTCCTTATGATTTTAATAACATTTCATCTTCTCTGGCTCACTTTACTATAAGAACACACTATATTATATATAAACTTATATGTTTATATATATATTTTGTATAATAAGAGCTAATTGACTGTGTTATTGGTAAGACTTCTGGTCAACAGCAAGATATTAGTCATTAAGTTTGGGAGGAGTCAACAGTTATATATATTTTTCTATGGTGCTGGGTTGTCAGTATCCTTTGAATTATTCACGAATCAATTATATTTTAAACCTGCACAATCCTGCAGATAGCCACTGACCCAATGAAGAGAAATAATTGAAAATATGTGTATATATTTTCCAAAGAATTGTAGTAACAAAATGAATTACACTATTCTGCAGAACAAAGAGTTGTCAAGGCATGTTTTTTGTTCAGGCCTGTGCTAGACAGATATTCTAAAATAACAAGATCCCGATACAAAACAATAATGGAAGATTAATAATTAAAATACAGATTTTTTCAGTGACATTCGTGTATAAAGTATCTCCACAAGAAACAAATGTCATGAAATTATTTTTATGAAAAATATAAAACAGCTCCACATTCAATCATGAAGGATATAGAATCATCTTAATCAAGGATATTTTCATCTTGGAGGTATAAAATTAAATGGATGTCTTACAGCTAGGAGAAACATGAAATTAGAACAAAAACATTAAACTCCAAATTAGCAATGGAAAGTAATAAGTGATTTGATGATTTTATGCCAATTTTATGCTATTTAAAAAAAATAAATATAGCTCACAAAACTAATATCACTAAATTATTTTCAATAAAGGGAGGACAATAACAGTTTTAATGGAATTGAACAAAATTAAATTACCACTTGTTTATATAACACTCCAAGGTTTAAAATGAGCTTTCTTATTGAGAAGCCAAGTGTAAATGTTCTATAGTAAAGATTCTTCAACCTCCCCCACATCAGAAAGATAGCTACTTATACATCAGGCTTCTCAAGGTGAGATCCATGTATCTTCTGGGGAAAGTGAGTAGTGCCAGAGATTAGAGGCCCCAAGGAAAATTACAGCACGCACCGTAAGTTTACTTCATGGAGTAGAATGCTTCAAAGAAAATCTGACACATAAGCACCAACATATACTTAAAGGCCTTGCATTTATCGCAACATTTCTGTCTCTCCATCTTTGCTCAGTCTCTCTTTTGCCCAGAAGCCCCTACCCTACTCCCACTCTGAACCCTCTACCCCACTCCCATGCTGATTCTTTTCAGATAGGTGACTGCTTAACTTCAATCCTGGTATAATATCCAGAAGAAAGCCTTCCTGAATTTCCCTGCAGTGCCACCTCTGTACTCCTGGGGCACCTGGGAACAAAGCCAACACTCCTCTCTCACTGGATGCTCTGGCATCTGAAGCACCTCTCACCCCCCACAGGAAGGGCAGGGCCATCCCGTCAGTTGTTTATCATTAGCAAACAACAAATGTCACCAAAACGGAGCTAAAGCTAGGAGGTCCACTATGATCACTGGGAGGATACTGGCAAGTTATCTACTAACAAAGCTCAAAAACAATGTTAACAATAACACTTCGCATAAAGAGGTTTCTTGTCAGAAATCTAAAGAGGAAAAGCAAAGTTTCGGTTTTGTAGCACACATCCTGGACCTGCTACCTGACCCTGGCCAAATTACTTAACCTTTCTGAGCCTGTCATTTCCTTGTTTTTAAAATGAGAACAGGGCTAGCACCCACCACATTGGGTTAGTGAGTATTAAATCAGTCATGTGAATGAAGTTCTGAGACTAGTACCCAACAAGTAGCAAGTGTTTACTGAGTGCCACTATCAATCAAGATCTTGAATGTGAAAAATCACGTAATTTCACATGTCAACTTCATATCTACAGAATAAAACTCTCATTATGTAAGGGAATGAAAGGAGATAAATTTAAAAAAACAT